ATATAACACCATTTTTAAGAGTATGTATTAAAATAGTTATAAAACGATTTTATTTGTAATGGATTTCATTTTTCTACTGTACGTACCTCAAAATATTTTCAAATCGATTCGTGCGCCTTTCTTGCTTATCGGAGTTTTCTATCTAGTAGTAATGGTATTTCTCAGCTGCATTTCTCATTTGCATCAACTTGCATCCAAATTAATGTTCCGAAACAGACAAACCATTTAACTCGACAACGAACTGTCGACCAGGCCTCACAGCCCTCGGCTGCCCTTGCTCCACCCGGCTAGAACCACAAAGCTGCGTTCATCGCTGGAAACTTGCATTGCCGCCAATCCCTGACACCAGCTAACCCTAGCTCACCGCAGTTAATTTGTTGTACCAGCCCGCACACAAATAGAGCAGCCAACGAGCAGCTGGAGGAACTGTTCGTTTGCTTTGAGCCAACATGCCACACTTTATCCACTGGATGACTGTTTTCAAATTTACAGCTTGTCAACAGGCGAGAGTTCGTAGAGGCACCCAAAGTTTCTGGGGTCCAGTTGCACCAGCTATCCCACATCACATTAACCATATGGTTGGAGCGAGGATTCTGCAGTTGGCTTCTAAATTGTGTAAATAAGTATTGCGCATACGTACTGTTGCGCCTGGCATCCGCATCCTTCTAATGGTGACTTTTCATTGTGTTCGCTAAGCAAAGCACAACTCAATTCTCCGGCCAACGTTGATGTAGACTTTATGCGCAATTGACTCGCAGAGGAGACCTACTCAACAACAAAAATAACAACAATATTTTGATAATCGATTTTTGATATTTCGTTATCGTTTTTCCAAACAAACGCGTTGAGTTCTTTAGAGAATGGATTATTTATTTAGGTAAATATTTTAAAATTTTATTTTTCAGATCTTGTCTTAACAGACTATCAACGGACAATTTTTAAGTCAAACCAATTGGAGTTTAGCTAAAAATATATATATTTTGATATTCGATTTTTGATATTTCGATATCGTGGTCTGATTTTATTAAAATTATAACCCTAGTTCTGAAACAATAAACCATTGCTTTGTATCGAAGTATATTCAAATCAATTGGAAAACAGCCAAATTATAATTTTTTTATATTTTTTCCCGGTTGTTCCCATGGGAGCTGTATAATATAGTCGTCCGAACCGGCTCGTTTCAACTTCTACTAATAGTTTTAAAACTGATGGGCTAGTTTGCGTAGAAACGAGCGAACAAATAATCGGACATGGCTAGATCGACTCTCCTCATGATACTGTTAAGGTCGAAAATGTGTCCTTTTGACTGAAATTAAAATACCATTCGTAAGGATATACAAATTAACGAGAAAGTTATCTGGCCCTATAGAACATTAAAACCTGAGTAAATTCGGTGCTTTTAAAATTTTTGCTTACATCTTGCGCATTTTTTTTGCAAATATCTAAGCAAATAAGTTTGCTTAAATTAAGACTAGTTTTTAATTTAAATTTTAAACAATAATTAATATTTTACAATTATTTAATGAAGATGATTCCATGATTTTCCCCACCAAATTGATGGTTGATACTTTTTGGAGAAATTCTTGCCTTAGCAGCGTTAGCTGCGTAGCCGTTTTCGTTACTTAATAACTTTCGAAAACATTCATGACGAAAAATTTGTTATACACCAAAAGTTGAGGAAACTCAAGGGCTATAAAAGTAAAAGGTTAAACAAAAATCGCCTTTAAAAATTATTAAGAACTTGCAAAAAAGTATAAACAACTGAAAATTAAATAAGTCTTAAACTATTTCATTTAGACCAACTATGTTAAGGTTTTTAGCATTTGAGAAAACATTTTTAATGGCATATATCACTCGTCTGTAGCTTCCTTTAAATATACAAAAAAAAAATATTTTTTTATAACTTTTGAACGGAGCATCGGATCCAATCAAATTTGAACTGTGTTAAAGAAAGGGCAATATTTTACCAACTTAAAAAAGGTTTAGTATGTCACTTTCACCGCCCTTTCTCCTGACCCAGTAAATTTTTGTAAAGTCATAGTATGCAATCCTTATTCATTTAGCGAGACCTTTCGATTGGTGTATTACGATCAGAACATCACAGCACATTTTTAGTTTTACGGCTATATAAAGCAGTCTCCTTTGCATCGCTCTTGGTGCGCATCGTCCCTACATGTACTTTCGTCCATAGTGATACATCGATACGTGAAAGTTTTTTATATTATTTCAGACATTATTTTATTGAAATCGGAAACCGATGTGTTATGTTGTAGCTGCCATATGAACGATCGAACAGTTTATAAGGAAATCATTATCGCTTCATTGTTGTTAAACTAGCTGAAACTAGATTGCTTTCTGGCGAATACAAACTTTTGGTTGAAACAATAATACCCTTGCAAGGGTAATACGATTGATGAGATGAGATTACATAATTCAAAATTTCACCAAAAGTCGGATTTTTGTAGAATGTTCTGTTTATTTGCTATAAGCTATAACAATTTATTCAAACATGACCTTAAAAATTTCTTATGGCCTTTGATAATTTATTAAGTACTTTTTCCCCTTATATATGTGGTTGGCTCATTCGTTTTCTGAGTGTATGTTTTGTATTTAGAATTCGTTATCACATTAACAATGTCTTCATATCACATTTATAATTTCATATTTATTTCAATAAACATAGTCAATTTGCATAATTAAAGTATTTAATAAATAAAAACCTATTCTAACAACGAAGTTAATGATGTTAATTTTAATATTCAATAATTCATACAACCTCATTCTTAAAGTCCTTTATCTTTTGAAAGGTTATTTAATTTGAGTGAATTTGTAGAAATTCTTTTTAAAGAAGAGTTTCCCCAATCATTGGACAATGTGTACATCCATTCAGAATCACATCTGAAAATATTCAAATTGTTCATATAATTTAAGGACACTTTAAAAGTATGCGTTCCTTACCCAGCTCACGTATTTCTCCAAACACCTTAACTAAACAATGAACGTAAAATCAGAGCTTAAAAAGAGAAAAGGTAAATTTCCAATGGCAAGATTTTGTTCTTACAACTTCACCGCCGTAGGAGAATACGCCACATGGCAAACACGTTTCGCATTGATGTTGAAATTGTAGTCGGTTACTCCGGTTGTGTTGGCTTTTTTCGCACAGTTGAGCTCACATTTTATGGTCAAGTTGCATTCTGTTTCATTTATATTTCATGTGTGGTTTTTATCTCCGTTCTCTCTGGCCAAGACAATATCACATTTTACTTTTCCTATTAATGTCAATTTAAATGTTCCAACACTTTTGTTGTCTCTGGGGAATAGCCAGGGGCCCTTCTCTGCTGTTGTCTGACTGAGATATTGTTTGCACAAAAGCACTTAAAGACTGCATTACTCCTCCTAGATAATCGCTCGGAAAATAGTTGAATAGCACAGTCCCTTTTCCGCTGGCGTCCAGTTCCGCAGTCATTTGTGGCAATTTGCGTGCTCATTGTTAATTTGATTTTCAGTTTACGATAAGCGAAAAACACCTCGACAGCTCCTGGGGCCTCAGTTCCCTGCCCCTCCGCCCTCTGCTATTTGGTTTGGGCGTGGCTGGGCGCATAATTGAACGATAAATTAAATAAAGGCACTGGTACGAACAAAAACCAAAATGCATTCAAACGTAAAAGATTCGTTGCCATTTCGGGTTTCTGAGGCAATTGAACTGTAAGCGTGAGCTCTTCCATCTAAGGTCAAACTTTACCTTTAGAACTACACCCAAAAAAATTCTCTTTGTGCACATAGTTACAAAAAATAGTTTTGTTCCTAGTAAAAGCTCTTTAAGTATTTAAGAATATCTAATCATTAAAATGTTTTCGTTTTGGGTAAAATTTTCATTAGTTTGTCATTCTCAACGGGTTCAATTACCCTATGAGTAAATACAAATTAAAGATTTGCACTGGTATTATAACATATCAAAGATATCCTTTCAGAATAAAGACAAAATAAATACAACATTCCATCAAAACAAACAAAATTGCCTAGGAGGGCTTTTTTTTTTTTAATTGGTGGACCTGGCCTATATGTATTTAGAAGCCTACTTTATTTTTAAAGCAAAACACACAACTATAAAATTTGATTGCAAATTTAATTTAAACTTTTAAGAAATCGCGACCCAATAAGTTTAATTATACCTGATATTGTAGAGTAGGAGGATATATTAAGGATCTTTAGATCACTCCTTCGTAACATACAAGGAACATCCTTGTGTGGCTTGTTAAAATATTTAATTGAGTTCTGGGATTAGAAAGAAGCTTTTCCGACCATAAAAAGTATTCTTGATTAGGATCAATGGCCGATCTAGCCATGCCCATCTTCTTATTCATTTGTACGAACGTCTAGATCAGTTTTCAAGATAAAAGATAAGTTTTCAAAATAAAGATAGATAAAAGCTAGAGATTTGGGTGTTGACATGCAGAGTTTAGTAATTCATACGCAGCGCAAGTTTATTTTAAAAACGGAGCCAAGCCCACAAATCTCGAAATCATTCTGAGACTTGTTAGTCCTTAGTTATTATGCTTTGTGTGTGTTTCTTCCAAATCTACGGCAATTATGTTTTGCTATAACGTCAGTGGATATTTGAAAAACGTATTTTGAGCATTAGCACCTAATTTGTGTGAGTAATTTGAACGCGAAAACTTGTCAATGTGTGTGCCGACAGGGGCTTTATACTGTTCGTGTGTGCTCTGCCGCTGCTCAGCATAAGTTATGGTCGTTGTAGCGCGGGGTGGGGTTCTGTTCGCTCTTTTCTGGTAGTGTTGTCAATAGAGTTCCGCATATAGTTCGACTTTAATCCGGTAAGGTCCGTAGTCTAGAATACTGCGGTAATAACCACTGCCAATACTCTATTCTATCAAATTTAACACGAGTTAATGAATTTTTAAATTAATATATATGCTATACCTATTAAATAAAAGGATATTTTAAGTAGAAGGCGGTCATTTGCTGAGTTGAGTGGGGCATGGGGGGCATGCTTTGAGCTAGCTGTCACAAAAGGTCTCCGAAATCAAAAACGAGCGAGCAGCTAAAATGGGTGACTTACCAGAGGTGAAGCGTAGTACGTAGTAGCACTGCAGAATTTAGAGCACCAGCTCAAGCCCATGTCCGATCCCAGCTATGAATAACCTCAGCCAGAGATCTCCGTACAGCCAGATCGTGATGGGAGCCGCGGGCGGCTTTCTCACCGGCTACGTGCTCCTGAAGGCCAGCAAGATGGTGGCCGTGGCCGCGGGCGGGACCATCCTGGCGATCGAGCTGGCCTGGCAGGCGGGCCTTGTGAGGCTGGATGTCCTGAAGATGGTGGCACAGTCGGATCCGAACCAGACGCGCGGGCAGCTCCAACTGGCCAGTGGACTGCCAGTGGAGGGCACGAATCCGCTCCGAGTTCAAGAGCTGGACGACAAGGCCAGGAATGCGTGGGCCACCAGCGGTCGTTTGTGTGTGGCCTTCTTGGCTGGCTTTCTTCTCGGATTTGGCTGGGCTTAACTGATGCAAATAACCATCGCTTTACATAGAATGTATTTGAATTGTAAACGAAAGTTCCCACCTGAAATGCTCGCCGGCAAAAAATTTTATTCAAGTCTTTGGGTGCCGGCGCAGGGAAAGTTTTCATAACAAAAGCCTCGAAAATTTTATAGAAATACTATTAACAAATAGCCGAGCCGAGTTGAGCCCTTCACCGCACACACATACCCAAACATGCATTTAAAGTTGGTGCTCCGTATAAAAAGCGTCCCAGCAAAAACTTCAAACTTGTAACAACATTTTCATGCGCTTTTAAGCATTTCAATTTTTACGCCGCGGAGGGAGAAAATTTATGCATAAGCAAAGTTTTTCACAACCAAGGCAACGGCCCCGAAGTGGGTGGCGCCGCGTTTTCATATGCATTGTGTGGACTACAAAATGTGTGATTTGCTAATAAAAAACGTAGAAAAAAATTTGGAAAAACAAACTGAAAATAAAAGGAAATATTTACTGAGCTCAGATATCAAGAATGTCCCACTTTTAAGTAATTAGAATCATTTCGAGTAATTAGAATCATTTCGAGCATTAGCATCTATAGGAGCCATATGTCAACCCGGTAGTAAATGTCACGTTTAAATAACTATTCGTAATGGTGTCGGGATATTTTTATCTTTTTTCTTGAACATTCTGCTGATGGGAAATTGGTAGCCACTGCTGGAGCCGAACGAAAAATAAATGTAGCACACTGGTCAGGATCTGTTGCCAACAATAAAAATCAATTTAAATCGAAGCCAAAACTCGAACTCTCCACTAACACACCCGACGCAACGCATCACGTACGACTACGGAACACATGTCGTATGAGCAACGCAATTTGCATTTGAAAAAGCCAAAAATTGTTTTCTTTTGCAGCAGCCCCAAAACCCAATTTAAAGTCCGCCAATTTGCAAGCAAGTTAAACTTGACGTTTTCATTATTCAAATACCGACTGCCCGATAAGAGATAATCCCAATTAGCCAGGTATAGTCAGAATTAATTGAAAAAGTGAGTGTGGAAAAGTCCAAAGATAAATGAAGTTGAAAGTTTGGCTTGTGATTAGCATGGAAATCAGCAGAGTAGTGAAAAAGCGAAAGTCGTGTCGAATGAGGTTGCGGCGGCATTGTGACTGTGATTGGAGGACTACTATCGGTGGAAGATTAAATTAATTAAAGGTGATAATTGCGTGGCTAATTGGTAAAAAGATTTTCCTTTCTCAGAAAAATTACCTGTGCGGACTTACCGCTGGTTAAAGCATTGCAAAGGGTGTTCAAATTGGTTTAAAACTATATATTCTTGATCAGATTGTTAGCCAATAACGTTTAATATTAATTGATAAGGCTTTGAAAAACATTTACTTAACCAAAACCACAGAATGTATAAGCCCTGATAATTTCACATGCAAGCTTGCACATACAAAACACAAAATCAAATTTCAATAGCCCAAACAACAAATGGCATGTAATTGTTTGCCATCAAAGCAAACCAAAGCAAAGCGAAACGAAACCGAAACTCCAGAGTCCAAGCCGAACGCATGTAATTGTGCAATATGTCTAACAATTTGACCCAAACTAAATTTGCACATAACCGCAAATAGCTAAATTGAAAATAGCTGGCGTGGTCGTGGGAATTATTAAATTCGAAATTAAATGCATTTTCCTGCAATTACTGGTCAATAAAATGGGACCTGTGTGCATCTATAATTGCTTGAAACAGACCGTTTGATTCCGATCTACCTGCCAATAACTCGATTAAAACTTAAACAGTTCGAACTTTGCACTCAGAGTGCAGGGAGTGGCCTGCCTCCAGTGCAACTTCAACTTCAACTTCAACTTCAGCTTCAGCTTCAGCTTCAAAGCTCCTGCCGAGGCCGCTCATTAAATTCTCATGCTTGCCTGCAGTCCAAGGTAAAATACGAGCAGCGGCATTGCAGTTTCAATCGTCTCGCACAATGCTCCTTTGCAATGTTTTTCTTTCTTCTCGACTCGCAGCCTCTTCATTTGCTGTTCCTGCTTTTGTTGTTGGCAAAAAAGCGGAAAAGCGTGGCAAAATAGGAAGGGAGCGTCGGGTAAAGCCATTCTGTCTTTGGGGCTGACCTACGGCATGGAAAAGGTGAAAAACGGAGAACTATTAGAGTGGAAGTAGGCTAAAGTACTAAACAATGCAACACATTCTAGCCCATGACGGAATTTAATACTGAGCTCTAATTTCATAAGAGATATATTTTTGGCAGGGCTCCGTTTTGATTTTCTCTAACACTAAATACAGGTATCTGGGCTCAAATATCAGTAGCTAAAGCAAGCCCTAACAACAAGAGCAGACGAAATATCAGCTACTCTTTAGGGTTCACAAAACAATCGATAGCACTATCGATACTATCGATGGTCGAACAATTTAGCAAAAATCGATGTTTTTGGCTCACCATCGATACTATCGCTCTATAAAAATAAATTTGTACTATGGTACATTCGACGAGTATTTGGAGTAAATTGCTGTATATCTTTGGGAACTTGCTGAAATTTGTAACTTTCAGGTCACACTGCATTTCCAAAATATTCGACAAGGATCAAGTTAGGCTAATAAACTACAAAACAACGTAGTGAGGCAGTGGGCCTGCACACCAAAACGAAAGCGTTATTAAAGATGATGTAAACATTAGTTCGTGATATTTTTATTTAAAATGATATTTCGTTCTTTTTTTCTGTGACTGAACAAACGATAATATCGATAGTAAACACCATAGACAGCCAAAATTATTGATAGTGCACACTATCGATGTTTTACCAACACGATAACTCAAGGTATTCGTAAAGGAACCGTATCTCACCTCGCCACTAAAATCAGAAGAATTCACAGCTCAGAAAATTTGATTGATTGCTGAGGTAGAACTGGATGATTTTTTTGGCCCACAGAGAGCGGGGAAAGAGGAGGGGAAAACTAAAACTGGGCAGTAGTACAAAGTAAATTTCTATGGCTACGAATTTCGAATGTTATTGTGAAACTCCTGATAGCTGTGCGCCTGGGCGGATCAATTTAATGATGTTATTTAAATCGCAGACACCGGAAATATTCCCATACTCCCCTTAGTTATAGTTGGAGCGCTTTAAGGCGCTTTAAAACAATTTGCGGTGCGGCAAAGTGAGTGCCAGACACAGGCGGATGTAATTTGAAGCCTGAGCTGCAGTTGCCTGGGCCATGTCCATGCCGGTTAGGACCTTCGATAAATTAAGACCGGTAGGCGTGCATGCACTGCTATCCGATTCTCACATCGACCAGCTGTCTGGGTGGCATTACGTGCAAATAGTTACGTGAAATTATTTCCGGAATCGGCAACTAATATAACTTCGTTTGAGTTCCTCGGCAGACTGGCAATGAAGTTGCCGCCAAGTTCGAGCCAGCGTTTCTTCAAAGTCAAACAATATTGCTGAGCTGATTAAGGCTTTTGCCAAAGTTTCGACGTGCGGGAATTCGCAGAAGAGTGCACTTTGCTGTCGGTTGGCCGAAAACAGTTTCTTTTCTTTCTTTCATTTCGAAACCCGTTCTACTGCCTCTAAGCGTCGTACATTTCCAGTGCAGCCGGCTCAAACTGTCGCCATAAATGTTAATTAAATTAAAACGCTAATAGGCGTGAAATATGATAACGCACAGATACAGCAGCATGCAGACACCAGCGAGCTCCCACGAGAAAGCTACGCTGGCAGGTGGCAAAGCCCTGTAACAGCTGCCGCAGAAGCCTCCCGCCACGCCCCCATCGCCCGGGGGCGTGTGGCAATTGCCAAAGTTGCCGCTCACTTGATTTCCAGAATAATACTCGTAATAATTAAAATGAAAATTAGAAACGCCGCCAGTCGAAGCATCTGCCAAAGGGAAGGCAAACGGACAGATAGAGAGCTAGAAAGCAGGGGAAACGCCGTCACCACTTGGCTGCCTCCTTGGGCTCGAAAAATTTGCCTTTTGGTGGCGCCTAATTAAAAGGGATAAGTGCCGGGGCAGGTGTGAGCCCGGCGAGGCACACTGATGGGGCGAAATGGGCGGGACGGAGTAATTACTAATTGCTGTGATTATAAGGGTCGGATGGCCCAGTCGGGAGGCGTTTGGTGCGCTCCACAAATCGGAGAGAGACTGATAGGAGACGTTCTTTCCAGCAATCCCTTTTCAAAAAAATATTTCAGTCAGGGAAAAAGCACAATCGGCCATTTTAATAGAAGATTTTATATTCTGTTCATATGCACCTGTACATCATCAATATCTTACAGTACTTAAAATTAATTATTTATTTAAAATTTTAAATAGCAATTAAAGACTTTGTTTGTCTGGACAAACATACATAGTACAACAGAAGACTGTTGGTGGTCCTAGGTAAGTGAAATTAAAGTTAAGTTAAAAATTGCGCTATAGTAATCTGGAATTTTTTCTTAAAACTATGAATGTGTCTTATACAAAAAAAAAGAAGGACAAACAAAATGGTACACCCAAGAAAAAGCTCTGAGTGTCAATTTAATAAGCAACCGATTTTTTAGCATCAAATTTTTTTGCTTAGTGTCAAAATTTAAATATAATAAAAAACAAAAATAATTGAATTAACAGAGTCAACTTTCTGATGCACGCTCTTTGCTTCTAGTGTTGGCTATGCACCTCAACATATGGCGCCATCTAAACTTCGATTGTTTTGTTCTTTATTGTTATACCCTTGCAGAGGGTATTATAATTTCAGTCAGAAGTTTGCAACGCAGTGAAGGAGACGTTTCCGACCCTATAAAGTATATATATTCTTGATCAGCATCACTAGTAGAGTCGATCTAGCCATGTCCGTCTGTCCGTCTGTCCGTCCGTCTGTCCGTCCGTTTATATGCAAACTAGTCTCTCAGTTTTAAAGCTATCTGCATGAAACTTTCCCAGAAGTTGTCTTTCTATTGCAGGTAGTATATAAGTCGGAACGAGCCGGATCGGACGACTATAGCATATAGCTCCCATAGGAACAATCGGAAAAATAAATGAAAAAAAATTATAACTTTGCTGTTTTTTAATTTTTTGTTTAGTTCTTCGACATATAGCAATTAGTAAAATATTTTCGATTTACGGTTTAAATTTCATCAAAATCGGTCGACTATAGCATATAGCTCCCATAGGAACAATCGGAAAAATAAATGAAAAAAAATTATAACTTTGCTGTTTTATAATTTTTTGTTTAGTTCTTCGAGATATAGTAATGGTTAAATATTTCAGAATTATGTTTTAAATTTCATCAAAATCGGACGACTATAGCATATAGCTCCCATAGGAACAATCGGAAAAATAAATGAAAAAAATTATAACTTTTCTGTTTTTTAATTTTTTGTTTAGTTCTTCGACATATAGCAATGTTTAATTATTTCAGAATTATGGTTTAAATTTTATCAAAATCGGACGTCTATAGCATATAGCTCCCATAGAAATAATAAAAATATATAAAATAACT